CAATATTGGCCAAAGAGGCCTGAAAGATGTCATCCTTCTCCCGTCCTTCCTCTTCATCCTGTTCCTCCTCCCGCTCCCTCTCCCTCTCCCTCTCTATCCCTCCTCCCTTCCCTTTCCCTCTCTCAGTATATGTCTTGCTCGTTACGAGTCCCCATTGTTTATGTTTCGTTATCTCTCTTTCTCTCTTTCTCTATTTCTCTCTCTGTCTCTGTCTCTCTCTCTCTCTCCCCCATCTTCATATTCCATTTGCTCATCGTCATCGTGCAGTGGACGACTCAGGATGAGCCACATGGAGAATTCAGTTGACCATGGAGCGATGAGTCCGCAATGTCACGGCATCTCTGTGAAACTGCATGCGCGGCTATGGGCTGATGAAGCGCTCGCGTTGTCAGCGGGGCTGCTCACGTCGCATGGCAGTGGCCATTCTAGGACAACGACTTGGCGTGGCCATGTCGCCGTGCTGCGCCATGCTTAGAGAAAGCTAAGCGTGGCCCAATCAAACCTGACGTTTCGATACGCAAAGGCCCTGCGGCTGCAAACGAGCAGGCTACCGTGAGAAACGACCGCAGCGCCTCGAGGCAAAGGAGTAGGCACTGGTGGGACTGCATGTATGGCCATGGGTTTCTGGGACGCTCGCTCTGCGAGCGAGGCTGCTAAGATCGCATGGCCGTTGCCACTTTATGAAAACGACTAGGCGTTGCTCTGCCGCTATGCTGCGCCAGGCCGTGAGAAAACTAGGCATGGCCCGGGCAAACCTGACGGCTCGGCGTGTACTCGCATAAATTCCAGGGCCCTGCGAGCGAACATGGTCACTGATAGCGGCCGAGACGCCTTTTACGCGAACGGCTAGGCATGGCTACGTCGCCCCACTGCGCCGCGATTTCCAAACCGACGGCCACGGCGCAGCTCATTGATTGACTCGTGCCATTCACATCACGTTCGTGTCTTAGCCTTTCCTCTTTTTCCTCTTCTTCGCGCTCGTCACCTAGGCGCACTGGATTCGTGGTTCTCGGACTCGGGCGCCACATGGCGTCTCTCACCCGGCCGCAGTTCTCGCGCGCGGGATGCTGGCACGTGCAACATGCCTTGCTATCTGTCCATCTCTGTCGAGCGCGTCCATTGCTAATAGATTGTGGCACCGCTTGCGCTCCTGCTTCTGGTCCTTCGCTTTCTTCTCGCTCTCATGCTCGCATTTCTCACAAATTTACGCCTCGAACTTATCCCTGGCCTTCTGGTTGGGTCGTTCCGCTCCGCAAGACGCGCATGGTGGATATGTGTGACCCTCGCAAAAGAATTCCCCATTCACCAGCTCTGTGGCTTTGATGGCGTCCAGGGGCATGTTTTCGATTCCTTTTTCCTTCAAGCACTGCGCGCAGGGACCTCGCGCGCTTCGCCTCCCCTGGCGCATCTTTGCTGCGCCAGGCTTGGAGCATGTCGTCCAAGAAGTGGTCGTCTGGTAGCTTTTGCCCGCAGGCGCCGTAGCACTGCGTCATTTCTCCCTCGTCTTTGCCAGGTTTGTACCGGGGGCGCTCGTTACAAGTGGCGCTGTCACCGTCCCCCCAAGCATTCTGACTCACTTTGTTGAAATCTTGACGCGGCAGCTCGCGTTCGCACGGTCCACCGCAGCAAATGAGACGCACTTTCGGTTTCTTCCAGCTCAATTGTCTTTTGCACTTTAAGCAAACAAAAACTGCGCCTCGTCGAAGGACGTATTGATCTAGAACTGCCTGATCCCGACTGGAACTGAATGTTTTCATCTCCTTCCACACATCGACGTCATCGCCCCGTTCTTCTTTCTCCTGTGTCTCCTTCGCTGTCTGATTTCCCTTGCAGATGCGGCACGGCAGTCTCATCGAGGAGAGCCAGTCGATCCGCTCTTCTTTCTCCTTCGCTGCTTTTCTGTCCTCTTCCTTCCTCGCCGCCTTCACCTGTGAAGTCGTCGTGAGCTTCTTCGTGAGGACGTCCAGGAGGAGTCTTGGGCCCGGAAGCATCCCCTGTCGGAGCAGGTGGGGGGGGGCACGGCTGAACGATGAGCATGTTCTCCGTTTCCTTCACCCTGCTCATGATGATGGCGCGGTGATTCATCACATGAGCGCCCCCTGTTGATTCATCACATGGGTGCCTGGCGTGCTGAATTCTTTCGCTTTTTGTTTTGGTTCTTTTCCCAAAAGAACTCTCCCTGGGGCTTCGGCCCGTCCCGCCGGCCACCCGAAAGGGACCTCAACGACCGCAACAAATCCTCCAAGACGGCTCAAGATGACCTCTAAGATGGCCACGTTGGCCCAAGATGGCCTCCAAGATGACCCAAGATGGCCTCCAACTCGCCAAAGATGGTCCAAGATGGATTCCAAGACGGCCCGAGAGAGTCCAAGATGCCTTCAAGTTCGTCCAAGAAGCCTCCAAGACGGCCCAAGATGGCTCCAAGATGGCCAAAGACTAGCCAAGAGGCCCCCAGGATGCCTCCAACAGGTCCACCAGGAAGGCCCGAAAGGGCAAACAACCATTGATTTGCCTTAGGTGATTAAAGGATTGTGGCAGTTCCTTCTTATCAGCTCAACAAGGCTCAAGAGGCCCACAACACCACCCCAAGAGCGCCCAAGAGGCCTCCAAGATGGCCCCATGACAGGCCAAACGGCCCCCAAGAGGGCCCCAAGAAGAGCCCAAGACGGCCCACGATTGCTTCGAAGACGCCGAAGACGGCCTCCGAGACGGCCAAGATGGCCTCCAAGATGCCTCCAATACGGCCAAGAAGGCCTCCGAGACAACGAAGATGGCCCCAAGATGCACCGAACAAGGCCCCAGATGGCCTCAAGATGGCCTTAGACTGCTCAAAAGGACCGCAAGAGGCCTTCAAGACAGCCCAAGAGCCCTCCAAGACGTCCTCCAGGAAGGCCCGAAAGCTCGAAACCACCTGGTCCGATAGCTCGCCCGACTCCGTGTTCCCCGAAGGCTTACGAAACCCACTCGGGGAACGCGTGGCCCGATAGCTTGGCCAAGCTCAAACCCAACTTTCGGCCACGCAGGCGCTTCCAAAAAGGCAGGGCGCGGCGGTGATTCGCCGTAGTCGTCTTCTATAGCGCCAACGTCTCAGTATGCCCTGATGATTCCTGTCCGCCCCCGCGTGATGTTCCCAGATGCGCTAAGGCAGCAACGAGACGCACCGACGTGACTCTGATATATGATCATATTATGAGAGAGGGGACCGGCGGCAGGGGGGGGGCGAAGTCCTTACGGATATGTGTATATACATATATATATATACACAGATGTGTATGCATACTAATGTAAACACACGCTGCGCAGTCATGCGTTGTCGGGATTGCGTAAGAGCACCAGGCCAACGGCGAGCCCGCGGCCAGACAGTGTGTGCCCGTGCTCGGGATGGCGTACCAGCGCAAGGCCACGGGCGCCCGCGCGGCCCAACAGCGCTGCCACGACCGACCAGCCGGCCCAGGAGCGGCGGGCCGGCCTGGCAACTGCGGCTGCGCCTCGGCGCCAGCAGCGGGGCGCGGAGCCTCGCGGCGGGGCGCGGCTCCGCAGATCCGGCGCTGGCGGATCGGCGCCGCGACCGGGCACTTGCGAGGCACGGGGGCCCTCGCATCGCCACTCCGTCGCCAACCACCCTTCCTCCTGCAGCCGCTCCAGCCGTGGAGCCCCTCCAGCCGCTCCTCCTCCCACCTCGACCTCCACCTCCTCCACCTCCTCCATATCCTCCTTCACCTCCTTTTCCTCTTCCTCCTGCTCCTCCTCCTCCTCCTCCTCCTCCTCCTCTTCCTCTTCCTCCTCCTCCTCCTCGTCCTTCTCCTCTTCCTGTCTCACTCCTCCTCCTCCTCCTTCACGATCCTTTGGCGCTCAACCAATCTGGCCATCGTAATACGGAAGGGGGAAGGAGCCATCCATGTGTCCGCAGTTCAATCTCTGGCGGAGGGCACGTCGGTGGCACAAAGGAATACAGGAGTATGGTCAGAAGGAGGGGCACGACAAGGAACCTGACGGGGAGGAGGAAGACGATAACTACGACGGCGAGATATAAGGCCGAGGAGTCAGAGGCCGGACGGGAGACGCCAATTGCTCGACCGCATGTCTTTCGTTTGCCCACTGCAGATGCCTGGACGACCGCAGTCATATGGGGCCAGGAGCGGCATCACGCAGGACCTGACTAGACCAAGCCAAGCCACATCACACAAGACCCGATCAGATCAGAGGACCAGACCAGATCGGACCAATCAGTGCCAGACCCGACCAAAACATGGGGGGGGCACTGGTCAGCAAACGGGCTGGGGGGCACTCGCATACACAGGATACTAAAGTGAGATCGGGAGCGGGGGGAGAAGGAGGGAGGGAGAGATGAGGGATTCGCTACGAGGCAGGGAGGGAGGGAGGGATTTTGGATTGCGCGCGCGATGAGCCTGGCGGCTGTCTGCAACTCGCAGAAACTTTCAAGAACCGTCAGGCAGGCCGGCTGAACTAAAAAGCGGTGATATGCACGGGCACCAAGTGAGGCAAGGTCAGCACAGCACGAATGGACCCCCGCATCAGAGCGGACAGGACGCGTCGAACCGAAGCAAAGAATCCGTACCTCCCTCCCTTGTCTCATGAAACCCCCATCCCCCACAGTAGGTGGCGACGGACGGATCAAGACATATTCTGCTCGCGTGCCGTGCCCTACACGGGCATTGTGGAGGAGAGGCGGAGGGAGGGAATAATATGAGAGAGGGAGAAAGAGGGCTGGGACACACACCGCAATCCTCCTGCTCTCGTGACACGGAATGCAGCTTGGGAGAAGGCTGGGACACAGACCGAAACTCTCCTGCTCTCGTGATGTCGTGACATCTCGTACCTGGGCGGGGAAAAAGAAAACTTCGCACCCTCGCAACACGGACGAACGACGACGGCGGAGGCAAGCAGAGGCGATTTCCTTCGCGCTAACCGAGGGAGGGGATGCGACGCATGCTACGGCAGCTGCTGCTCCTCCCTTGCACCTCCCTATCTTCTGTCATGAAACCCCCATCCCCCACAGTAGGGTACGACAGACGGATCGAGACATATACTGCTCGCGTGCCGCGCCCTACACGGGCATTGTGGAGGAGAGGCGGAGGGAGGGACACAATTAGTTAGGACATGCGAGAGGGAGAAAGAGGGCTGGGTCACATACCGAAGTCCGCCTGCTCTCGTGACACGGAAGAGAGCTCGGGAGAAGGCTGGGACACAGACCGAAACTCTCCTGCTCTCGTGATCAAAGTGTCTGAGCACAAACGTGAATTCATGATCCCACTTCACAAACATCGTCCTGAAGTTGACAAGTTGCGACGTGGCAGGAAGCTTGCCATACTCAATCCTCAGTCGCCTCACTCGGGGCCATCCGGGCTGTCTGAAGAAGATTCCGACGATCACCATCAGAGCGAGGCACGATCTTCTACTTCATATGGATGCCGATGGCCGCATATGCGGCAACCATGGCGGCCCTGGCAGCTTCGATGCCTTCTTGAGCAACGATCGTCTCGCCAATCCTCCGATTCCTCTCGTCATCATCTCGCTGAGCAGCAAGAAGGCAGGCTGCCACGTGCTGTAGCTCATGATGGCGGGTTTCAGCTTCACCGCCAACATCTCGCTGAGCAGCGGTAGGGCTGGCTGCCACTGCTCGCCATGCTCGCGCGCACTGGTCAGGGTACTGGAGATCATGATGTTGGGCTCCAGCGTCACCACCCACATCTCGCTGAGCAGCCGTGGGGCCGGCTGCAACCGCCAGCGCTTCTCGCACGCGCTGATCGTGGTTCTGTGGCTCATGATGGAAGGCGTCAGCTTCGCCACCGACATCTCGATGAGCACCGAGATGGCCGGCTGCCACGTGATTTAGCTCAGGATGTCGGGCTCCAGCTTCACCACCGACCTCTCGCGGAGGAGCGAGAGGGCTGGCTGCCACTGCTCGCCCTGCTCGCACGCGCGGATCGGGATCCGGAAACTCTCGATGGCGGGCTCCAGACTCACCATCCACATCTCGATGAGCAGCGATCGGGCTGGCTGCCACTGCCAGCGCTTCTCGCACACGCTGGTCGGGGTTCTATGGCTCAGGATGGCAGGTGCCAGCTTCGCCACCGACATCTCGCTGAGCAACGATAGGGCCGGCTGCCACGTGCTGTAGCTCATGATGTCGGGCTCCAGCTTCACCACCCACATCCCGCTGAGAAGCGATAGGGCCGGCTGCCACTGCTCGCCCTGCTCGCACGCGCTGATCAGGGTGCTGGAGCTCATGCTGGCGGGTTCCAGCTTCACCACTCACATGTCGCTGAGCAGCGATCTGGCTGGCGGCAACTACTTGCGATTCTCGCACGCGCTGTTCTGGGGGCTGTAGCTCATGATGTCGGGCTCCAGCTTCGCCACCGACATCTCGCTGAGAAGTGATAGGGCCGTCTGCCACTGCTCGCCTCGGGTAGCTTCCGCTGTCCCAGTGCCGCTGCGCGTCGCTGGGGCCACGCAGCGCGGCGCGCGGCCAGCGGACACGCAGCCGCAAGATGGGCAGCAGCTCTGATGGCAGCCTTGCTGGGCATCGCGGCGGGGGCCTTCGCCACGGCGCCGGCCCCCTGCTTCGCGTCCGACGCGGGTACAGCAGCAGCGTCAACGTCATCAAGTTGCCCGCGCGGTGTGCTGACGACGTATCTGCTCACATCGTACAGCGGCGGCGGCGGCGGCGGAGCGCGCAAGGCCACGGCCGGCGCCGCAGCGGGAGGAACGCCAGGCGGCGGCGCCGGCACGCGGCGAGCAGCCAGGTAGCTGGAGGCATCAAGATACGCCGCCCGAGCGCCACGCTCCGCGCCTATCGATCGAGCACGGCGGGAGCTCCAGGGGTACAGCACGAGCAAGAAGACGTAGAACATGATCCTGGCCGAGAGCGGGAGAAGCTGCAGCAGCAGCGTCGGCACGATCTTGGGCGGGTTGCGCAGGCAACACGCGTGGCGGCAGCAGCACCGATGAAGCACACGGCGAGGAGGTCGGCGTAGCACTGGGCCAACGGGCGGCTGCCGCAGCCGCAGGGGCGCTGATCGCCTCGAGCCCGGGTGACTCCCGGGGTGCAGCACCAGCAGGAAGAAGTGCATGTTTATCTCCGCGGACACGCTCGGGTCCAGCAGGGCCACGACGCACGACGGCGGCCACGTCGCTCATACGAGGCCGGCATCCGACTCTGGCCGCATAGCCGAGCCGTCGCGCAGCTGCACGAAGCGTCGGCCTCGGTCGGCTGCAACGCCGTCCGGAGAGGTCTCGCGGCGCGCGGCTGGCCTGCGGCTCGCCTGGCATCGGCGCCAGGGGCAAGGCGAGGCGGCCTGCGCGCATGGCAGCTGTCCGCGGGCGAGGCTCGCAGCGCGCGGCGGTACCTGGTACCGCGGGCACTGCACCCAAAGCCTCGACCCGGGACGGCGGCTGGAGGGAGGGAGGGAGGAGGAGGAGGAGAAGGGAAGGAGGATGAGAAGGAGGAGGAGGAGCAGGAGGAGGAGGAGGCGAATGTCACAGCGCAAGTGTACCTCGATACGCATAGGCAATGCTCCATGGCGCGAGGCACGATACAAGTGAAGTGCCATACGGCTGCAAAATAGACCTCATCAAGTTTATGAGAACAAATCGCGAACACGTCGCGCGGGCTCAAATTCTATTTACGCATCTGAGTGGCTAGCATAGAATGCTGAAGAAGGCAGGCCTTATGCGGTCCACCAGCCATGAGAACGGAGGAGCAAGCAAGGAGGGGGGGGAGAGGCGAGACAAGGGGGAGGTATATGAGCAGGGAACTGGGGTGAGGGATGAGGGAATAATGAGGACGAGGAGGGATGACGGGGGATAGGGATTATGAAGAGAGGGGCGGAAGGGGGACCGAACAAGAGGGTGAGGAGAAATGGGGATGACGAGGAAGGGGGAGGGCGGGTGAGATCGAAAGTGAGGACGATGAGGATGACGACGAGGAAGAGGTAGAGGAGCGAGAGAATAAGGATGATGATGATGATGCTGATGATGATGATGATGATGATGATGATGATGATGATGATAATGATGATGATGATGATGATGATGATGATGATGATGATGATGATGATGATGATGATGATGATGATGATGATGATGATGATAATGGTGATGATGATGATGTTTCCGAGAATGAGGAACCATGCCGAGGAATCTCAGAATGAGGACGATACTGAGGATGACGAGGGCAGGAGAGGATGTAGTGATGGCTTGGGGAAGGCGGGGGGCTCCTCCTTGTCGCTGACGCTTGCCTAGCGTTAAGCGCTCCTCCTCGTCCTCCCCCTCCTCCTCTTCCTCCTCCTTGTCCTCGATCCCTCTTCCTCGTTCACCCTCTTCTCCTCTCCCTCCTCCTCCTCTCCTCCAGTCCCTCCTCGTCCTCACCATCCCTCGTGGCTCTGGCACGGCCGCCCCGGTCCTGCCCCGGGGCCCCGTGGCTCGTGGCCAGGTCCTCGTGGGGCCGTGCTGGAGCCTCCGTGGGCCATCCCGAGGTCCTCTGGGCTCCCGTGGCGCTGCCGCGGGGCCGTCTCGGCATGGCTCGAGGCGGCGGTGTGCCTCCCGGGAGGCCACCCGGCCCTCTTCGAGTATCGTTCGGCCGATCCCCATGCCCAGCGGCGTGGCCTGGGCCCCGCTGGCCGACTTGCCCCCCCCCAGAGGGGGGTATAGGCCGTTCCTTCGGGTTTCGAGGGGTGTATGCCCAGCTGGGGTGGCAATGTTGGAGGGGGTCTCGAAGGGGATGGGGATGGGGATGGGCATCGGTTCAACGATACTGACTCTTGGACCGCCTCGGGCTCCTCCAGAAACCCTCTTATAGATGGAGACCTCTGTCTGTTGGGCGCGCAAACATGAATTGGCGATCCATGGATTTTGCGCGCGGTCGCCAGATCCATGGCTCGATGGAGGCGCCCTCCCCAAAATGCGGCCGGTGCCGCCTCGTTCGGCAGCGGAATTCCTCGATTTGCTGTGGAATGGAAGCGTGACCCGTCGCTAATCCACGCCCCCTTGATCCATGTTTGCGATCGCCTGACTCCAGCAGAAGCCCCCTTGGAGATGGAGACCACTTGTCTTGGACGCCCTTTGGTTACTTCGAGGCCCCCTTGGAGCCAAATTTAATCGAAACGCGCGGAATCAAGCAGGACAGACCGCATCGCAACCCACTGTTTTACAGCTGTTGACTGACCGATTTGGGCGGGCAAGGGCTCCTCGTTGGGTTCCATGGTGGCATCCTGGAGCAGTCGTGGGTTTCTCTTGGAGCCGCTGGAGGCGTCGTGGCCTCGTGTAGAACATCGAGCTGGGCTCCTGCGTGGCCATGCAGATGGTCACTCGGGTCGTCCTGGGGGCTCTTGGGCCCCCCCAGGGGGCGCCCCGAGGAGCTCCAGGATGGGAGGGGCTGCCCAGGGGTCCCTGGGGGAGCCAGGCGCTGGGGTCCCCAGTGCGGGTGTTCGCTGATACGACAGATCTCGGGCAAACGTCCGTCCTCCTCCTCCTTCTCCTCCTCCTCCTCCTCCTCCTCCTCCGTCTTGGGCTCGATGTGTCGACTGCGCTCCTCCTGAACAGTGGCGCTCCTCCGAGGATGGGTTGCAGCAAGCCTACGCGCACTGGCAGCGCACCCCCTTCGCGACCTGATGCGTCCAGCTTGGCCAGGATGGTACGAGTGATGTTGCCGGATCTTCTTCGTTCGTTGGCCCGTACAGCTGAATGGGATGGCCCCCTGAAGCTGTTATGAAGCCACACGGGCACAATCCAAGTCGAAGGTCATGCTTGTAAATGTATGCCCCCCGAGGCGTGTACAAAGCGAGGTTGAGTTCATCGAACAAGCAAGGGCCTACATCACGCGCCACCTTGATGCTGGAGGATGCAGCCTTCAACCGTCTCTAATGCTTGTCCCACCTCAGCTGTCCGATGACACATTCAGTGCGAGAGCCATCCCGACACCAATCATACTCGGCTTGGGCCAAGGGCCGCCGAACACCATTTGCCCTGTACACTGGCACTGGCTCCGACATCAAGGAAAGCGGACTCAGAATGCCGTCAACACAACGGACAAAATGTTCAATCCTCAGCGCTCTTTTGGTTTGGGACAGCTGACCCAATGGAGCATACCGGTAGACATGGTGTGGCGTTGTCTCAGGAAGTCTCCGCATCAACATCTCAATCATATAAATCGCCGATGCCGTGTGGCCGCTCGGAACGTCAGATCCCTGCCCGTCGCAAAATTGATCACTCAAAATCCTCGTCTGGCTAACTTGGAAAACAGGAAGTGGACGGGGGGCGGGGGCGGGCCGGAACGGTCCGCACAAATCCTCCAAGTAGTTCAGAGATGGCCCAGAAATGGCTTTCCGTGGCCTCCTAGATCGCGCAGGATGGTTTAGCTTGACACGACACCATCGTATAACAACGAATGGCTTTCCATATGTTTGCGTCTTCGGCATGCTCGCTAACAGGATGTCGGAATCGCTGCATCGGGCCCGAAGACCGCCCAAGGCAGGCCCAAGACAGCTAAAGGGAGCCCCAGGATGGCTCATGGTGGCGCCCAGACTTCTTAAGAGAGCCCCCATCCACGACCCCAAGACGCGCCGAGGCGGTCCAAGAGGACCCAAGAAGGCCCCCAAAGGCCCCCCCAAGACCCCCAGAGGCCCCGAATATGGTTCAGCAGGACACCTTTTGAGCACGGCTTGGGGGATCCTCAAGACCTCGCAGCGCGAAAATGCACCAACGACAGCGAAACCCAGAAGAGAGGAACCCAAGTGTGTCGGCGTGACATAGAGACGCATGCAATCATTGGAATCATCGTCACCATCTCATCATCGTCATCACCATCATCATCACAATCACCATCACCATCATCACAATCAACGCCATCACCATCACCATCATTAGCAGCATCATCACCATCGTCATCATCATCATAACCATCATCATCGTCATCAGAAGCATTGTCATCATCATCATCACCTCATCATCGTCATCATCGGCGTCATCATCATCATCATCATCATCATCATCATCATCATCATCATCATCATCGCCATCGTCATTGTCATCATCATTACCATCATCTGCATCATCATCACCATCATCATAAGCATCACCAGCACCATCACCACCACCACAATTATCTTCAGCAACAGCACCACCACAGCATCAGCGTCATCATCACCACCATCAACCCCATCATCATTATCGTAATCATCTTCAGCATCATCTTCACAGAGAAACCACTTCACCAGCACCACCGTCATCGTAATCGTCACCATCATCAGCATCATCACCGTCATCATCATCATCATCATCATCACCCTCATCGTCCCCTTCATCATGAACATCATCCTCATCATCCTCACAATCCTCCTCCTTATCATCCTCATTCTCCTCATCGTCCTCGTCATCATCATCATCATCACCACCACCATCAGCATGCTCATCAGCAGCATCACCATCAGCATTAGAATCATCATCAGCAGCATCATCATCACTAAGATAATCATCATGATCATCGGCATCATCATCATCACCATCATCATTATCATCATGATTGTCACCACCAACATCATCATCAGCATCATCATACTCACCACCGCCACCACCAGCATCCTCATCATCAGTATCAGTACCATCATCATCATCATCATCATCATCATCATCATCATCATCATCATCATCATCATCATCATCATCATCATCGTCATCGTCATCATCGTCATCATCGTCATCATCGTCATCATCGTCATCATCGTCATCATCGTCATCATCGTCATCATCATCATCATCGTCATCGTCATCTTGGTCTTCGTCATCGTCATCGTCATCGTCCTCATCCTCGTCATCATCATCGCCAGCGTCGCCATCGCTGCCACCTGACGCCGCTGCCGCCGCAGCTGTCCCCCTCCCCCTGGGAGCCAGGTGCTTCACTGGCAGGGGCCCGCTGGCGGGCTGCGCCAGGGCGGCGCCTCCGGGCTGGCCGGCCGCCTCTGGCGGCACGCTGGCGGGCTCCTCGGGGCGGGCCCGCGCGGTGGGGTCACCACACCGTCCGGGGGGCCAGACAGCCTGGTGCCCCGGAGCGGACTCTCGCTGGGGGGGGGGGGGAGGCCCACGAAGACTGGGTGCACACACGGAGGCCGGCGAAGACCGCCGCAGACGCCACGCCACGGGAGGAGCGGCAGGGTCCTCTTGGCACGAGGGGAGCGGGTAGTGGAGCCAGGGGCAACGATCGGGGGGGACGACAGGGCGATTCGAAGCTCGACGTTTCACGGAACACACGGATCTTTGAAGTGGCGGCCCACCGAGCCCATGGGAGCACCGTGTCAAAAATGCTACGGCTCCCGAGGCCGAATACCCAAAGATCGATGGCGTGGCGGCCACCCCCCAAAGCCCACGGGGACGCCTTGCACCCTCCCCCTTCGGCCCAGCCGTGGCCGCTTTCACTGGCCGCGCCTCGCCCCCAGAGTGCCGATGTGGCCTTCCAAGTCCCCTGCATCCTCGTCGTGCACCCTGTTCTATACAGGTTGACTGTGCTTCCCGCGGTGTGAAAAGAGCGCGTCGTTTTTCCGAACAACAACGACGGGGGACGGCAAGCCACTGGGTCGAGCTTTCCGGAGCTCCACGCTGTGGATCGACCGTGTTTGCGGCCATGCGTGACGTTGCGTCCGTCGTGGGAGCCCAAGCGGGGTTCCCACGGCTAAAACCCAAAGATTTTTGACGTGGCGCCCCCCCGAGCCCTCGGGGGCACCATGTCGAAACTCTTAGGCTTCCAAAGCCAAGACCTGAGATTTTTGACGTGGCGGCCTTCCCGAGCCCACGGGGGCACCGTGTGAAAAATCTCAGGGATCCCAACATCCAAAATACCAAAACTTTCGACGTGGCAGCCACCCGAAACCACGGGGGCGCCTCGCCAAACAACTCGGGGATCCCAAGCTAAACCCAAGGCTTTTCGACGTGGCGGCCCCACGACCCCACGGAGGCGCCATATCAAAAATCTCCGTGGGGCTCCCGAGGCCAAAACCCCGAGATGTTCGACCCGGCGGCCCGCCCAGCCCAAAGGGGCGCCTTGTCAGAAAACTTGGTGCCGCCAAAGCGAAAGCCACACGGTTCTTGACGTGGCGCCCCGTTGGGCCAAAAATCCCGGGGCTCACAAGTCCAAATACCCATGATTTTTGACGCTGCTGCCCCCCGAGCCCACGAGGTCGCCGCCTCAAGCAGTTTGGTGCTCCCAAGACCGTGGCGGCCCCCCGAGCCCGCGGGGGCGCCATGTCAGAAATCCTCGGGCCCCCAGATACAAAACCCAAGGATTTTTGACGTTGCGGCACCCCGATCGCACAAGGGCGCCGTGTCAAAAACTTGAAGGTCCCATAACAAGAGCCCGAGGGTCTTCCGCGCGGCGGCCTCCCCGAACTCACGGGGGCGTCGCGTCAGACATCCTGGGGCTCCCATGGCCAGAACCGTGAGATGTGTGATGTGGCGGCCCTCCGAACCCCCAGGATTTCTGACGCGGCGCCCACCCGAGTCCACGGGGGCGCCGCGTCAAAAATCTTGGGGCCCCCAAAGCTAAAATACCAAGATGTTCGACGTTGCGGCCCCCCGGGCTCACGGGGGCTCCGTTTCGGAAATCCTTGGTTTCCCGAAAAGCCAGAGACCACAAATTTTGGACGTGGCGGCCCCGCCGAGCCCACGGGGGCGCCGCGTCAAAAACCCAAGGGGTTTCGAATGCCGGATCTCAGAATGTTTGACGCAGCGGCCCCCTTAGTCCACGGGGGCGCCCTGTCAAGAATCGGGGGAGGGGGGGGGCGAACGTCAAAGCAGCAAGATGTTTGACGTAGCGGCCCCCCGAGCCCGCAGGGGCGCCATGTCAAAAATCTCGGACCCCCCAAAACCAAAACCCTAAGATTTGCGACGTGGCGGCCCCCCAAGCCCACGGGGGCGCCGCGTCGGAAATCTCGAGGCTCCCAAGGACACAACCCCTGATTTGTGACGTGACGGCCCCCCGGGCCCACGGGGGCTGCGCGTCAAAATCTCAACGTTTCCAAAGTCCAGACCCCAGAATTTTCGACGCGGCGGCCCCCCGAGCCCACGGGGACACCGTGTCAAGAATCTCGGGGCGCCGAAAGACCAAATTCAAAGATGTGTGACGTGGCGGCCCACCGAGCCAGCGGGGGCGCCGTGACAGACATCTTGGGCCCCCCGAAGCCATAAGATTTTTGGCGCGGTGCTCCCCCGAGCTCGCGGGGGCGCCGCGTCAGAAATCTTTCGACCACAAGTCTTCCGACCACAAATCCAGAACCACAAATCTTTTGACGTGGCGGCCCCCCCGAGCCCACGGGGGCGCCGCGCGTCATAAATCTTCCATCTTCGGGCTGCAGGCAGACCCAGAGACAAGTATCTCAAGCCTGGGCTATATAGGTACCCCCCGACTAACCCCTTTACCAGACGACGTGACCCCACCCTCAGACCACGGGGACCCCAGGCCGCCCGCGCGCGCGAGCGTCCGCTTGCGCTGTGCTTCAAAAGCCCCTTGCACCCCCCCCTGGACTCTGGGTACATCCCTGCGCCACCCCTGCCCGCCAACCCCTCCCCCAAGGACTACATGCTCGTACCCTGACCTGAAGATTCCCACCTCCTGGGCCTACAGGTGCCTTCCCTCCCGAGGCTACAGGTACCCTCCACCCATCCCAACTGCAGATCCCCCAACCTGGGACGTATCCCCCGTCCCCAACCAGACTGCATGTATACCCCCGTCCAGGCGACAGCCCCGCCCCCCCAGGACTGCAAGAACCTCCTCTCCAGACTACGAATGCCCAGCCCAGACAACAGGTACCCCCGAAACTGATCAGGGACTCTTGAGGGGCTCGTTTTAGTCTGCACAGACCCACAGAGCCTAGGAACAAAGCATTGAAGATACCATGGGAGGCCACTGACCTTCCGTTGCTGAGTAAGCGTCGGTTTCTGGCGACAGCAAGACCAGACGCGCCAATTAAACATCATGGGATGTTCATACCGTTTTTTGAGGCTCCCTTACAAGTTGATTACAAGACTCCTTGGACAAATCATTCACACCAAGACCCTCACAACTACCTGAGCTGAGGCCCTGAGGCACATCAGAAAATCTTCCTTTGATCTTCAAAGAAACACGATGTCTTTCATCGGCATGGTGGTCGATTGTGCCGTCTCAACTCTACAGGCCCGGCCTGACCCTCTCTCATCTCCTGCCGGCTCCTCCGGATCGATCAGCGCGGCCACAGAAGAGATGTGAAACAACTTGTGCCCGTCCACAGTGTCCCGGGCGACTTGGTGGCCCGGCCTCGCGGCAAGTCCGAGAGAGCACAGAAGATGGAACGATGTCCCCGATAGAGAACGACTGGCTCTACACCGTATTGGCCTCAGAGCGGCGATCGACAAACTTCTTCCTGAAGCTGTGGGTGGCAATCGGCCAGTGCTGTGAGAAGGGGTGATGGGCAGGGAAACGGCGAAGTGGATCGGGGAGGGCAAATGGGGTAAATCAGAAGCTGAGGGATGAGAACGACTCGCCCGCGACTGGAGACCGGTTTGGATTCTGGTCCGCGTCGCGTGTGCGGGCGAAGCGAAGATGTGTGAGGGCGATGATGTGGCGGCCGTAGCCAGGTCCACGTCGGGAAACATGATTCTGCCACGTGTATCTCGCGGTGGTGTGCAAACTTGTCCTGTGGTTGTGCCGTAGTTGTGCCATGCTTATCCCGTGGCTGTCGCGTGGTTGTTCTGTGGGTTGTCCTGAGGTTGTTCCGTGGGTTAGTTCGTGGTTTTCTTGTGCATGTCCTGTGAATATCTGGTGGGCTGCCCCTTGAGTTGTCTCATAGTTGTCCCGTGGTTGTCCTGTCGGTTGTCCAGAGGATTGTCCCGTAGTTGTCCTTTGGGTCATACCGTGGGTCGCCTCGTGGCTTTCCCGCGGTGGTCTCGTGGCCCGCACATGTGTATCAGATCGTGGCAGCATGCAGAGACAACATGTTCATAAGTGGAGAGAAGACACACATACGTTCTCTGTGTGTCGTAGTAACCACGCAGGTGTTAAGTGGCAGGCGCTGTAGGCAGGTAGCAGGTAGGAAGAGACATATGGAACGTCACACTATATGTGTATTTATGCACACGCTCACACATCTATGTATAGACTTGTACACATATACCTATATATATGTATATATATATATAGTAGGTGGGCAAGTGGATGGACACACACGCACACACATAGGCAGGTAAGTGATAGGCGCGCACATCCGCTGCCCCTGGCGGCGTGTGTGAGGAGGATATATATGGGCGGCTGGTCATCAACGTGAGGTCCTGGGAGACAGCTTTCATTCGAAGCTCCTCCCCGTCGTCGTCGTCGTCGTCGTCGTCGTCGTCGTCGTCGTCGTCGTCGTCGTCATCGCCGTCGTCGTCGTCGTCGTCGTCGTCGTCGTCGTCCCCCCCTCGGGGGCTGCAGCAGGAGTGGAGGTGGCTCAGGGCAGCTGCGCACGCCCTGGGGGGCCCCCGCCGCCGGGGTGTCATGGGGGGGGGGGGGGTCCTGGTGTCCCGGGTCAGAATACGGTCCCTCCCCCCTCCCTTTTGGGCCGCCTTTACGCAAATTTCACGCTCGCTCGGAAAAAGACGGTCCAAGAGAGGCCTGAAGCAATAAAAGGGCGCTCCCAGACAACGCCAGATGCTCTCAAGATGACCCAAGAGATCTCCAAGACGTCCTCAGGAGGGCTCCAAAACGATCTCCAAGGAAACCCCAAAATTCAAAGAACACACTTGTTTCTTCTGCATGTTCGCGTTCTTGCTCCTATAAGCTTCCAACTTCCAACCGCTCAAGACGGTCCAATAGGCCCCCAACTCAGCCACAAAACAACCCGAAAGGCCCCCAAGAGAGCCTCGAAACAACCAAAGAAGACCAGAAGAAGACCCAAGAAGCCCCCACGGGGGCCCCAGCGCCTGTCAAGAGGCCTCCGAGAGGGGTCCCAGAGGGGGAACTCGAACTGTAATCCCATCAGCCCTTTAGGCTAAGGTGGTCTAGCGAGTTCTTCCTTTCCTCTTCACAGAGCCCTCTTCCCTTCGGAGAGGTTTACCCCCCTCCCCTTCCCAGGGTCTGGACGGAGGGGAGATGGAGGGGTTGGAGCGTCCGAGATGGCCCCAGACGGCTCCAAGAGGGCCTCCGATTCTCCGAGATGGCCTCCAAGGCAACTCAAGGTAGCTTAAGGTGGTTCACGATGGCTTCTTGCGTACCTCCACAATGCCCGACGATGGCTTCAAGACGACCTTAAGAACCCTCCCATGAGGCCAAACTCATTCAACATACGTCAGGGACATCACGGATTTAGGCCTTCTCGACTTTTCGCTTCCGACGCGCCCTGGAGGTCTGCCTGAAGATGGCCCCAGGATGGCCGATCAGAGCTCCAAGATGGGCTAAAGAGGCCCCCAAGACAGCCTCAAGAGCGCCCAAAAATCGCCCCAAGAGCGCCCCAAGAGGGCTCGAAGGAGCCGTTTCGAGGGCCCCAAAGGGGGGACACACGTGACCACCTCTCTCTTTCCACCGACGCCCTCCACGATGCCCCAGGAGGCCCTCCAGAGCTCCCAAGAGGTCCCTGGGAGAGCCCCAAGAGGGCCCCCCAACCTCCCAAAAGAGCCCCAAGAGGACCACAAGATCCCCCAAAAGAGCCCCAAGAAGGCTCGAAGAAACGAGTTTAACAAGGCTCAGTCCTCGTCCGTGTTGTCCTCCTCCTCCTCCTCTTCCTCCTCCTCCTCCTCGTCCTCGTCCTTGCCATCATCTTCTTGTCATTCCTTTTCCTCTTCTTCCTCGTCGTCGTGGTCGTGGTCGTTGTGGTCGTCGTCCTCTTCCTCCTCCTCCTCCTTTTCCTTCCCTCGCTCCCATGCGGGCCGCAGGGGTGCCCCGAAGAGGCCCCCCAAAGCCACCCCCTGGCTTCAGAGATCTCTCTGACTACCCTGGTTTCCCGCTTTGTTTCACGATGTGTTTCTCTTCGTCCCTTTTCAGGTCAGCTCTCACGGGCAGGGTTTGTGAATGGGCTGGTGGGGATATCCGCCGGCCCCCTTGTGGGGCCACCAGGCTGCATGACGAAGGTTCGCAATTTCCTGTACCAGTTGCAGCTTCCAGTTTCCACTTTTACAGTTCTGCTTCTTGCTGCTTACTCTTACAGTTATGCTTCTTGCTGCTGACAGTTCCTTGTTGATGGACCGCGCGAGGGGGGGAGCTCCAAGCTCCAAAACGGGCATTTGTTCGACGCCCTGAGCGTGTTGTCTGAATTGCTGGGGTGGGAAAAAATTAACACTCCTCACGCAGATCGGCGGAGTCAGGGTCCAAAAACACATGGGATTTGCCACATGTCTGATATCCGGCGGCACCCCTCACGCAGATCCGTAGGGTCAGGGTCCGAAAAATCTTGGGATTTGCAACATGTCGGACATTCGGTGGCACCCCTCACGCAGATCGGCGGGGTCAGGGTCCAAAAACAAAAAAGATTTGCCACATTTCTGACATCCGGTGGCACCCCATCACGCAGATCGGCGGGGTCACGGTGCAACAAATCATTGGATTTGCCACACATGTCTGAAATCAGGCGGCACCCCTCACGCAGATCCGTAAGGTCAGGGTGCAAAAAATCATGGGACTTGCAACGTTTCGGACATTCGGTGGCACCCCTCAGGCAGATCGGCGGGGTCAGGGTCGGAAAACCAAAGGGAATCTCAACATGTTTAAAATTCGATGGCACCCCTCACGCAGATCGGCGGGGTCAGGGTGCGAAAAACCAAGGGAATCTCAACATGTTTGAAATTCGGTGGCACCCCATCACGCGGATCGGCAGAGTCAAGGTAAACAAACGTAGAGGATGTGCCACATTTCTGAAATCCGGCGGCACCCCTCACGCAGATCCGTAGGGTCAGTGTCGAAAAACAAACAGGTCCCGACACTGCTTCACGGCAGCGCCCAGACCTCATGATTTAGCTTTTGCATCTCCCACTATCCGAGACAGGGGGCCGGCGGCACGGGGCGAAACCCTTACGGATTTTTCTGATCGCAAACGTAGCGGAAGTGCCGAACGCCGTCAGAAAGTCGTAACACCTTAGCTACTGCCTAAATTGCGCAAGCGGGAAAGAGAAAGAGAAAGACAACCAGAGAAAACGAGAGAACAGCGGGGAGGAGACAACAGGAGGCGGGCCTCGCTGCCGCTCAAAAGTGCGCCTCCCTCTGAAGGGTGAACCGCCAGCGGGCTGCAACGCCAAAACAGCGGGCGGGGAATTCAGGTTGAGCGACTCCGCGAGCATGCCAGTGAGTAGGCGCACGACGAAGCGCAGGCGCCAGGGACCAACGGGCACACCGTCACATGGATAGCGAGCACTGGTGGTGATATTTTTTTGGTCTGCGGCCGCGCGACAACGGTCTGGCGGCGAGGGGCAATGTCCGGGGCGGGCGGCACAAGGCGAATTGGCACTGGTAGTGATTTTTTGATTTGCGGCCCGCAAGGAGAAGTCCAAAGGGCGGTAAGAGCGAGGCTGGGGCACAGCGCAAGATAATTGGCGCGAGAACGCGCGAAATGCACCTGCAAAACAAATTAGGAAGAGAGGCGGCCACAATTGGGACTGGTAGTGATACGCGAAGCGTGAAGAATTTGGAGCCATTCCTCCAAAGACTGCCTCCGAGAACGCCCGGAAGCCCCCCACAGACCCCCACGAACCCCCTCTTGGGCCCCCACGACGCCCCCAAAAAGCCCCAACGAGTCTCTACGAGTCCGCGACCTTCCTTGGGCCTTCCTCCGGATCCCCCTTCAGGGTCGGCGGAACCAGCTGTAAAGCCTCTACAATACAACGATACTGGCAGGCAGCCATGCGGTAGCAAGGCAAACCACTGCGCCAGCGCATCGACCAAAACAACGACTCACTTTTCCCAACTTCCACATCACTGGAAGTGTGGTCGAATTTGTATACCTATACGACCCCCCTGCAGGCGATAAGGAGGTTTTGGGGTATTGAGATCAAATTTCCACCCTGGCTAACCTCCAGCCTGTCACCTTAATATAATATCTCTCTTTCTCTCTCGCTCTCTCTCTGTCTCTCTCTCTCTCTCTCGCCCTCTCTCTGTCTCTCTCTCTCTCTCTCTATCAGGTGTTTCCCTCCACCACAATGGTGATCGCGATGACGATGAGATCCCACTGTCCACCTATCCGTCGATCCGTCGACCGACCTATTGGTGAATCTCACTGGCGATCTCACTATCGACCTCAAAAGCAAAATGAGCAAGCCTGCCGCAGGCGCCGAAAAACGATGTGTCGGACAACCACA